ATACTGCAATTCATGGGGTCGCAAAGAGTCGGACACAACTGAGCAACTGAACTGAACTGAAAACCATGCTACAACACTTATTTAAATGAAATATTACAAATATAAATTTAAATAATTCTCTATTATTCTGTTTTCATAAACTGAGGGTAAATGCCTGTCTTATGTGGGAGGACCTAAGGAAGTCTAATTATCAGCTTCAAACAACAAATTGCAACCTTAAGCCTTTAGATTCAATGGCTGTAAAGCTACCATTACCTGCTCAAACATGGAAATGACACAAAAATGTCACAGTTCATGAATTATTGTGAAGACCCAGCAGTGTTCTATATGTGTCCACCACCATGTCTGTCTGTATTGGCCTGGTGTTCATTGGAAGGACTGATGCTAAAGCTGAAACTCCAATACTTTGGCCACCTCATTCGAAGAGTTGACTCATTGGAAAAGATCCTGATGCTGGGAGGGATTGGGGGCAGGAGGAGAAGGGGACGACAGAGGATGAGATGGCTGGATGGCATCACCGACTCGATAGGCATGAGTTTGAGTAAACTCCAGGAGTTGTTGATGGACAGGGAGGCCTGGCGTGCTGTGATTCATGGGGTCACAAAGAGTCGGACACGACTGAGCGAATGAACTGAACTGAGCTGAACTGAGGTCACTATGACATCATTAGCTAACGATTTGTTAGTAATTACTATGGCCTGCGCCAGAGCATGTGGCTTTTAATTAATATAATGGCATGATTTTTTTAATGTATAATAAATTTAAAGACCTTTTTGAACTATTTAGACACTTCTAGTATCTTGCCTCCCAAGGAAACAATCTTGTATTATATTCTTATATATTCTCAGGTTACTTTAAAAGGACAGTTGCTCGATGGCCTTAGACCAACTTTGACTCAGTTTTGGTGAGGAGAGTAGGACAACTTCCTTCCCTTGGTGAAAGGAAAGTTACAGCGCTCTGCCCAGAGAGCCTTTACCTGGTAACTCAGGCAGTAAAGCATCTGCCTGCAATGCAGGTAGAAAGGGTTTGATCCCTGGGTCAGGAAGATCCCCTTGAGAAGGGAATGGCTACCCACTCCAGTTATTCTTGCCTGGAGAATCCCATGGACTGAGGAGCCTGGCAGGCTACAGTCCATGGGATTGCAAATGAGTCAGACATGACTGAGTGACTAACACACATTTTGGGGTGTTCTACTGTGAAGTCTGCTTTACAGAGTTCATCATCTCCTCCCCCTCCTTCCCCCCTCCTTTACTTGGTGGCAGGTGCTGGCAATAAATACTAACCCAATCCTCAGGGCAGATTCTGAATTGTTACTGACACAGAGATACCTATCAGGAGGGACCGAGTTACAGAGACAGCTGGACAAGAACAGTATGTGATTCTGGCAGCAGCAGACAAAGCAAGACTAAAGCCTCCCACAGCGATACCTGAAGTCCATGCCAGGGCTTCCGAGCTCTGTGCAACTACATTCTTCCTAGAATTTTCTTGACTAGAGAGAACATTCACATACCCAATACTATCTGCAATATCTTTCTTTTGAGTACTGAAAATAAGCCCAATTTACATACATACAAACATTTGTATACACACACACATACAAAACCAAAGGTAGGAACTATAAAAGAAAAGATTAGTATTCTATTTTATTGAATATGACTTGGCTTCTTCACATTTTTGACATCTCTAAAAGCAATATGTGTCATATAATTGACAGTTCTTATATCCAAAGAAAAGCAATGTATCTCATGAAACGATAAAAGTTTAAATTTCTACATTGCAGAAAACACCATATATACTGTGAAAAGCAAGGCAAAAAATATTTATAACATGCCTAAACCTAAAACATTAAACATAACCTAAACCTACAGACATAAGGTTTATATCCTAAATAACCAGCAGCTTTCACAAATCAAACCCAAAATGAGCAAACAATAGGGAAACGGGCAAAGGATATGAACAGGAAATTCACAAAACAGGAGGCAGAAAATTTTATGTCTTGTTATGTTTTTACTATTATGATAATGTGGAGTAGGAAATGGCAACCCACTCCAATATTCTTGCCTGGAGAATCCCATGGACAGAGGAGCCTGGTGGGCTATAGTCCATGGGGTCGCAAAGAGTCAGACTCGACTGGGCGTTATGATAATGATCATCTTAAAGCCCTCCCTCTAACCCTAATGCTCCAAAAGTCCAGCTATTAACGTAGGCTGCAGAAAAGGGAAAAAAGAAAGAATTTCTCTGTCCTAGGCACTGTCCTACCAGATTTCACGAACATGAGTTCATGAAAAACCACACAACACCCTGAGGAACTAGATACCACTGTACAGATGAGGAAATATAGCCTTAGAGAAGCAGAAAGACTTAAGCAAATTGTCTAAGCAAGTGTGGTAAAGCCCAGGTTCAGAGCTTTCATACAGCTTCTGCTCATAGCATGACTTTAGAAATCCTATTCAGACAAAGGATTTCCCTTGAGAATAAGGGACTGGACCTCAGAGTTTTAAACCCAAAGCACTAACTGAAGGTCAAAGGCATCAAGTTTCATGAATCTGAAAAGCTAGTATCGAGCTACACAGGAGATTTCTTAAAGTCCTGTTTATAATTTTCTTACTTTGGAAAAGAAGAAATTAAGTGTCATAAAATATGTTTAGATGCAAAGATTAAGTCCATTTGATTTAAAATACAGATAACTTTGTACTATGAGTGAATCCATGACTTGAAAAAAAAAAACAAAACAGTTCTTAAGTGTCACTACACTTTGTCCACCTCAAAAAGATAAAACAGTTGCAATCACCAGATCCCTCCCTAATCATTAGATTTAGTTTTAGGTGGAAATAGCAAAGAGGAACTAAAAAGCCTCTTGATGAAGGTGAGAAGTGAAAGTCTCTCAGTCATGTCTGACTCTTTGCAATCCCATGGACTATGCAGTCCGTGGAATTCTCCAGGCCAGAATACTGAAGTGGGTAGTCTTTCCCTTCTCCAGGGGATCTCCCCCACCCAGGAATCAAACTGGGGTCTCCTGCATTGCAGGCAGATTCTTTACCAGCTGAGCCACAAAGGAAGCCCAAGAATGCTGGAATGGGTAGCCTATCCCTTCTCCAGCATATCTTCCCCACCCAGGAATCAAACTGGGGTCTCCTGCATTGCAGGCGGATTCTTTACAAACTGAACTATCAGGGAAGCCCAATGAAGGTGAAAGAGAATGAAAAAGCTGACTTAAAACTCAACATTCAAAAAACAGTGACAGATTTTATTTTTCTTGGGCTCCAAAATCACTGCAGATCGTGACTGCAGCCATGAAATTAAAAGACGCTTGCTCCTTGGAAGAAAAGCTATGACAAACCTAGACAGTGTAATAAAAAGCAGAGACATTACTTTGCCGACAAATACTGGTAAAGTCAAAGCTATGTTTTTCCAGTAGTCATGCATGGACGTGACAGTTGGACCATAAACGAGGTTGAGCACCAAAGAATTGATACTTTCAAATTGTGGTGTTAGAGAAGACCCCTGAGAGTCCCTTGGACTGCAAGGAGATCAAACTAGTCAATTCTAAAGGAACTCAATCCTGAATTGTCATTGGAAGGACTGATGCTGAAGCTGAAGCTCCAATAGTTAGGCCACCTGATGCAAAGAGCCGACTCATTGGAAAAGACCCTGATGCTGGGAAAGATTGAAGGCAAGAGAAGAAGGGGACGACAGAGGATGAGATGATTGGATGGCATCACCAACTCATCATGTCAATGGACATGAGTTTGAGCAAACTCTGGGAGACGATGAAGGACAGGGAAGCCTGGCATGCTGTAGTCCATGGGGTCACAAAGTGTTGGACACGACTGAGAGAACAAAGCTAATGGGAGAAAAAATATACTTTTACTGAAACATATTCAAGGAAGAAGGACCAGTGACAATTAGGTCCTGCTTCTGGTGTCCCAGAGGGAAGGAGTTCTAATGAAGGGCTGACACAGGCCAGGATTCCTCGAGGCAATGTTACAGCCTTGTTGCATAGGTAAAGCCTAAAACCTGATCCTAATGATCCAGCTTCCCCAACACTCAAGTCTTGGCAGGGCGCCTTACCCACAGTCCAGGAAGTCAACAACAGGAACTCTGCTGCCAGAGACCCCTCCCCCAAGGTGAAAAAAGACAGAATCTTCATTCTCTGTGTCCCGGGTCAGGAGAACAGAGACAAGCAAGAGATGTCACTTGCATATCTGTCCACTGTACACAGAAAAATAGGTCTCTTATCCTTTCAAAAATAATCAGGTATTAAGGGCGCTCAGTATGATGCATGTGGCTGGGTTACAAAGGATTAAAACAGGATGCCTCCAATTTCCCAGTCTTAGAAGCCATTCTACAATATCAGCCTAGGGCTTATATAATACTTCTCAACTTCCAATAAAGACTGATATTTCTCCCTAGCCTTTTGGTAGACCAGCCCACTCCTTTAAAAACCAATTTTATTCTTTCTGGACAATCAAAATGTAATCAATAGGAAATCAAGTAGGTTAGGGTATTTAGCCTGAATTCCGATCATTTTTGTGAATATGTTAAATGTGTAAAGTGTCACAGGCATTCTGTCCCGGAACTCACCCTCCAAAAAAGTGGCCAGTTAAAAGGACTAAACCAAAATGACTCTTTTCAGCCCAGCTGTTTAAACCCTAAACTGAGAGCATGCCACCAATGTGCTGTGTCAGCTGCATTTCACCAGTCATTCACCAAAATAGTATCATTATTTTTTAACTGTCAGAACAAAGGAGGGAATGAATCCTATTTTCAAGTACTTAGTTAACAATTGTCTGTTTTCAACACTGACTAAAAAATATTTTGTTCAGGTAAGAACTTTCTTCTAAATTTAAAGATTTAAGGAAAAGGGAAGGAAGGGAAGAAGGCTAAGAAATACAAGATGTCAAGAAAACTTAAAACACAATTGTAGTTACATCATAATAGTGCAGAGTGTATGTTGGGGGAAGGGGGGTAAAGACAGAGAACCTAGGGTAACACTTAGATATATGTCCTCAAAATCTGAAATAAAAGGATAGAGATACAAAGAGCTTAACAAGCCTATTTGCCCTACTGTAAGAAATAGAATATGAAACATTTTGGGCCAAAATGTAAACAGGAATCTTATTCAAAGATTCCTGCTAAATCAATTAGGGCTACAGATACTTTCAGAAGTTCATGAAAAATTTAAAAACAGCCTAGTAATTTCCAGTAACAATATATTATTTGCTGATCATCTTTTCTTTCCGTTCTTTTAAAAGTTGTAAGGTAAGTGGATTCCAAGAGTCTAAAAAGCCAATGAGAAAAAGCTTTTGTTTGAGTCTAGAAATTAATCTGAGAGATTATAAATGAGAAAAAGAGAGGTAATCAGATGTCTTATTAGATGCTCAAAATACCTGATGATTAAACATCAGGCGCCTCTAATACAAGGGGGAATGAGTTCTTTGTGTGGGGACAGATGGTTTACCATTATCACATCTTTGTATGGTACCACGAATATCACTTGCAACTTTTAAGACAGATTTACTACAGTGGTTTTAAGACGAAAATCTTAAAGACATTCAATGCTTATATTGTGATGAGAAGTCAAAGTCGCTCAGTTGTGTCCAAGTCTTTGCCACTCCATGGACTATATATTCCATGGAATTCTTCAGGCCAGAATACTGGAGTAGATAGCATATCCCTTCTCCAGCGGATCTTCCCCACCCAGGAATCAAACCAGGGTCTCCTGCATTGCAGGCAGATTCTTTACCAACTGAGCTATCAGGGAAGACCCGTGTTTATATTATGTAGTGATATATATCATTATTTCAGTATTAACATTTTCATCATGTGTACATCATTATCTAGAACAGTAAGAATCAAGAACTGAATATTTCTAAAGGAAATGTAAGTCATAAAATGTGTACAGGGCACGAATCTTTCCAACAAAGAAGAAGGAAATGAACAGTGGTCATATTTTCCTGAACTAGGGCCTCACCAGCTTGAGCTTATGATAAAATCTAGCAAACAGTTCCACTGGCCTCTATAATTTATAAAACTAATAAAGTTAAATCATCCCATTAATATTAAAATCCCAAAGAGTGTGTCTTCATGACCATTCTGCATAGCACTAAATACAAAGCAGATACTTTGTAAATACTGATATTCAGAAGGACTTTAGCCAAGTACCTTTCCTGGGCATGGAGAGCAGAAAAATTCCCTATGTCTGATAGGAGGAGGAAATAAAAAAAAGCCACAGCAACTGTAATAGTTCAGGATGACATAAGAGATGCCTTATTGAATGAGACCAATTGTCGGCTTGGTATTTGGTCCTGGGCAGAAATATCAAAACACATTTTAAGAAAAAATACACTGGTTCTCTATGACAATTTCTGATGCTAAGAGACACATATTTAACATGATCTATTTCTTTAATATTCCGCGAGGAATCTACTATCCACATAAGTACATATCACCCACTGAGATAAAGAATTTCCTAGTTGTATCTTAAAATCTGCTAAAAGACCCATTTACCTTATAACTACATTCACAAAAAGGCAGAACAATTTTGAAACTAATCCAAGGGGGGTTAATTACTACAACAGCAAAAGATATTTATCCTAAAGTGGTTTCATCTTAGGCAATGTTACAGTTTAGACTTGAAAGTGTTAGTTGCTCGGTCATATCTGGCTCTTTGTGACCTCATGGACTGTGGCTTGCTAGGCTCCTCTGTCCATGGAATTCTCCAGGCAAGAACACTGGAGTAGGTAGCTATTCCCTTCTCCAAGGAATCTTCCTGACCCAGGGATCAAATCCAGGTCTCCCGCGTTGCATGCAGATTCTTTACAGTCTGAACCACCAGGGAAGCCCCAAGAATACTGGAATAGGTAGCCATTCCCTTCTCCAGGGGATCTTCCCAACCCAGAGATGGAACCCGGGTCTCCCACATCGCAAGCAGATTCTTGGTGACTCAAATGGTAAAGAATCTGCCTGCAGTGCGGGAGACCAAGGTTCGATCCCTGGGTTGGGAAGATCCCCCGGAGAAGGGAATGGCTACCCACTCCAGTTTTCTTGCCTGGAGAACTCCTTGGATAGAGAAGCCTGGCAAGCTACAGACCATAAGGTTGCAAAGAGTCAGACACAACTGAAAGACCAACACTTTTATTTTCAGACTTTAAAGCCAACAGTAAAATACAATCTCCATGACTTTTCAATGACCCTAAAGTCAGTTTTTCAAAGCTTTAAAATACTTTTATAATTTGAGGAATAAGTTCATATTTGCCTTATTCACATAACTCTTGATTTCATAAACCTGGCCCAGGTATCCTCTGGGACTTTGTCTTTCTGGAAAGTCAGTCTTCTTGGTTAGTCTTAATACTGAAGCTACTTTAAAGCCTCAATTATTAACTTTTCCAGAACACCACAGCTCTCTGCTTTCTGGTATTTGCCATCAGAACTGGATACATTAGAGATAAATTATGGCTAAGATAAAAATATTAGAATTTTTTAGATTTTCCTCTTTTTTTCTTTCAAGAAAACACTTCTTTGGCTGGTTTTCACTAGCCTGTATAAACTACTACAGTGTACTGTCTTTTTCTGTAGACAACACTCAGTAGATTAATTTTAAAGTGCTGGACTTTCACCTGAAGCTTGGACACTTGACAGATTAAAGCACATCTTTTTGGATTTTTCAGCATATACATTTATTCAAACTTGCAACTCTGAATTCATTATCAATGTTTCTACCCACTCCTAAGATATAAACTTCCTAGACAATCTTGGTTAATACTTTATCCTGAAATTTCTGCAATCTGCTACCTCTTACTTCCTGTTGAGAATAAATTGCTCTAGTTTCCCCAGTGAAGACTCAGCCTTCCTTAGACTGTTCCCTGGGGATAGGAAGGGTCTTTTCAGGAAATGGCACCATGTCTGTGGTGACAGTGTCCAGGAAGATAAGACTCGTGTCTTAATGGATCTGTTTATGCCCAGGACCAGCAAATAGTTGTTCAATAACTGCTAAAAGAATTGATCAAGATTCTAAATCAACTATGATGAAGTAGAAATAAATGGATTATTCTGGAATTCTAATATTTATTTGTATATCCTTTGACACCTATCTTCTGGAACAGAAGCAAAGAGTGGTCAGGAAAAACAGGGGAGAATGAGGTTCTAAGATCTCCTGGGGACGTGGCTTTAGAAAGTCAGCTGGACTCCTATAGTTCAATATGGGTCATGGGAGGCTATTTTGTCTTCTCTGCATTAACACTTGGGTTTCCCAAGTAGCACAGTGGTAAAGAATCCTCCTGCCAATGTAGGAGACCCAAGAGATGTGGGTTCAATACCTGAGTCGGGAAGATCCCCTGGAGTGGGAAATGGCAATCCACTCCAGTATTCCATGGACAGAGAATTCCATGGACAGAGGAGCCTGGTGGTGGGCTACCGTCCATAAGTTTGCAAAGAGTCGGACATGACTACACACACACACACACTTCAATACAGAGTGATAGCCAATGTAACAGAATTCTGAGTGAGGGAAGGTAAAGACTCTGAGATGGTCCGTCAGGTAACTTTCAGGAAATTCTGAAATCACTTGCTTTACCTACTCAGGCTTCCTTCATCTTCCCACATCCGTCCAAATGATTTTTCAAACTCAAATATTCCAATCAGATTAACTTCTTCACAGAATGAACATTCTCACCCTGAGTTCTCCTTGAGGGTCCCAGGGAACAATGAAATCCCTAGAACTGTACCCTTGACACCTGGAGGAAATGACTTTTCCAGGAGAACAGAAGGGCATAAGGTTTCAAGCAGAAGGAAGAACTGCTTAGGAATTAGGCTTGTGTGATCAAGGAACCAACTACTGATGACAGACTGTTAAGGTTCAAACTGCACCAACATACATGATAGCGGTCTAACCTACACACTGCCTGATCAATCTAATGACTTCACACGGTATGCGGGTGCATGCTTAGTCGCTTCAGTCATGTCCAACTCTTTGCGACCCCATGGACTGTAGTCCGCCAGGCTCCTCTGTCCATGGGATTCTCCAGGCAAGAATACTGGAGTGGGTTGCCATGCCCTCCTCCAGGGGATCTTCCCAACCCAGGGATTGAACCCGGGTCTCATATGTCTCCTGCATTGGCAGGAGTTCTTCACCACTCAGGCCACCTGGGCTTCCCAGGTGGTAGGAAAGTCCCATGTTTATGCAGGTTCCGGACACTTTTCACAACAGCACATGACCTAAATCAGGGCTAGGACTGGGGGCTGGAGCTTTACGTAGAAATGTCAACCTGTTTCAACCACTGGGTGATGAGAGCAAAGCTTTCTCCAGATGGCAATCATGATGGATGGTGTTAAATTTCTGTAGGAAACAATAATTTAAAAATGAAAGGCATTTAGTGAAGTGACAGGGAATATACAAGGGCCAAGCAGAAACAAGTGGCTTTAGCTGACTGGTAAATGCTGATTATGCGAAAGATTTCCTGATGCTGGGAAAAATCGAAGACAAAAAGGAGAAGAGGCAGTGGAGGATAAGATGGTTAGATAGCATGACTGACTCAATGGACATGAACTTGAGCAAACTCTAGGAGATCGTTGAGGACAGGGAAGCCTGGCTTGCTGCAGTCAATGGGGTCACAAAGAGTTGGACATGACTTAGTGACTAAACAACAACAGAGAGCATTGGGGAAACCAGGAGCTGAGAAAGAAGGCTGGAAGGCTAAGGCAGAACCAGAAAACTGAGAGCCTCTGGTTTGCTATAGAGTGCTCTGAACGTGGTCTTCAACTCTCCATTTTTTAAATGCTACAGACTTCACTTTAAAGTCACTGTTGTAATATGTAGTCTTTTAAGTAAAAAAATAATTTGTACTTATCATAATTGACCAAAAAAACCCATATGTGAAAATATATCAGTGAAAGCATCTGACAAAATAGAAGCCATGCAGGTATTGTGTCTAAGAAAGGCCAGTAAGAGAACGCACTGAGTGACTGTCAAATCACTGCAGTGTCCTCCTGCTATAGGACAATTTGTCTGATTTGTGTTTTTAAAGGAATTGACAGGTTGTTCTTTATTCTCCTCCTTAGCAGACCTATAATTTATAACAAAATAGAAGGAAAATTAAAGCAAGAGGTATCTTTACACTAGTGTTTTAAAAAGCTAATCACCATTTTATTCTATTGTCATTTCACTCAAGCTTTTTTTTAAACTACCTTCCTGATTATGACCTCTTCATTAAAAAAAAAAAAATTATTTATTTATTTAGCTGTATTGGGTCTTAGTTGTGGCATGCAGGATCTTTGATCATAGTTGCAGCAGGTGAGATCTCTAGTTGTATGTAGGTAGGATCTAGTTCCCTGACCAGGGATCAAACTCGGGGCCCCTGCATTGGGAGCAATATAGCCTTAGTCACTGGACTACCACAAAAGTCCCAGACCTCTTCATTTTTTATCCATAGTTTTTCCTGCAAACTAAGACTCACTTGGGAATTTGACAGGATTACGGTTTCAACAGTCCATGGGGTCGCAAAGAGTAGGAGATGACTTAGCAACTGAACAACAACAGTTTCAGAAGTATGTGTGTGTATCTGTGTGTGTGTGCGTAGAAACAGGGATAGAGACTAAAGCTTTCTGTGCATCTTCTGTGTAAGACTGTCTTCTCAGTTCAATATTTCAAATATGATTATTGACCCTCTGCTATGAACAGTTACTTTATCTCATTCTAAATCAAACACTATCTGTTTCTCATCTCCTCATTGCCTTCTGTGTCACTTGTGCTAGATTGAGAGCTGGGTTTTTCTCCCAGAAAACATGATTGTACATTGCTGCCTTTTAATGCCTGAATCAAAGGGATGATGTATGTAAACATTCTATGGCTTCCCAGGCAACCCTGTAAAGGAAGAAATTTTATCAAACCAGAAGTGCCATTCTTTTATTAGGCCAGCCTTGCTCTTCTTATGTGCCTTTGGATAGAAGAACTTATTTTCTTTGATGAAATACTAGAAGTAATTTTGGGAACAACTGAAATATTAATAGGAGTAGCTACTATTCCTCATCATTTTCATTAGCATCATCGTCAGTGTGGTAGGCAGAATAATGGTCCCCAGAGATGTTCAAATCCTAATGCCTGACATGGGTGCATGTCACCTCACATGGCAAATGGGACTCTGCAGATGTGATGGTGTTAAGGATCTTGAGATGGAAGATTATCCTGGTTTTTTAAAGTGGGCCCAAGATAATCACAAGGGTCCTTCTGAGAAGGAAGCAGGAATATAAGAGCCAGAAGAAAATGGGATGACAGAAGCAGAAGTCGGAGTGACACCAGTGCTGAGAGGGGGCTATGAGCCAAGGAATGTGGGCAGTCTCTAGAAGCTGGAAAAGGCAAGAAGAAAATTTACCCTTATTCTTTAGGAACACAGCCTTGTTTAGCCCTGTAAGATCCATTTTCAGAAGTCCAACCCCTAGGACTAAAACAATAAACTTACATTTTCTTATTTAAGTGACTATATTTTTTATAATTTCTGCAGTAGCAAGAAACCAATGTTTCTAATAGGTGTATTAACTTCCAGAGCTAGCTCAAACTCATGTCCATCGAGTTGGTGATACCATCCAACCATCTTATCAGATGAGGAAACTAAGGCTCAAAGTCACTTCAGACAACAAGTAACATAGCCAAGAATCAAATTCAGTATTTTTTGGCATCAAAACTCACATTCTAAGTAAATAATTATACTATAATGGCTATATGACAAGTTGGTTAGAGAAAAAAATGATTAAATATAAAGCATTTATATTTAATATAAAGCATTCTTTATATCAGCCACTAAGTCCTTGACAAGCCAGCTTTTCCCAGTCACCTACCCTATCTAAATGGCCCAATAGCTTTCTCCTGTCAAAGACACATGAGAGTTGTCTCCATCCACTAGTAGGTAATTACACTATAGTCTGTCTAGTACATAGTTGATCCTCATCATAATCCTTACTGATATTAAAGTTTCCATTGTTATTAATATCTTTGGGCTGATGGCACAAGAAGGTTGTGTGGTGGAGAAGAAAGAACACTGGCCCTGGAGTCAGCAAACAAACATTCTATACCGAGTGGTGTGACTAACAACATACTATGAGACCTTCCACTTTGATTCAACCTTTTAGCTGAAAAAAAATCGAGACCAAATGATGTCTTAAGGACCTGCTATTGACTGAATATTTGTATACCCCACCCTGACCAAATTCATTTGTTGAAGCCCTAATACCCATTGTGATAGCATCTGGAGATTGGGTCTTTGGGAGATAATCAGGTCATGAGGGTAGCACGTTATGCATGGGATAAGATCCCTCCAAAGAGTCACGAAACAGTTAGCGTCTTCTCTTTCTTTTTGTCATGTGAAGCCACAGCAAGAAAGCAGCTATCTGCAAATCAGGAAGAGGGCTCTCACCAAACTTCAAGTCTATCAGGACTTTCCAGTAAGTGTGTCGAATGTTTGCTACTTAAGCCATCCAAGTCTCTGGTTATTTCCTTCTAGGAGCCAGACTGACTAGCTTGCTTTGAGGTACAAAGTTCAATGACTTCATAACTTCTAGATCTATAATAGCTAGATCTATAATAGTGCTATCATAGCACTAAGTGCTATGTCTAAATCTGCAACTTCTGATGCAATCATTCCAGCTGGGTGTCTTATCACCCATCATGGACCCCTTATCAATCCGCCTCCTGTTAGTAATAACACCACTGTCCCAGTCTCTCAGATATATTTTGCTCAGTCCTATCTCCTGTTCTCTATATTCTATGAATCACCACATTCAGCTGCCTTATTATGTAACTATGGTATATTATTTTAAGGCAGAAAAATGTGGCAATAGGATATTGGTTATAGAACAGATGGGCATCCACAAGGTGAGTCACGAGTTTGTACTGTTGTGGGAATGAACAGAGAAAATCAAAGTTTAAGATATGATCTGGAGGAAGATATCTGGAAGTGGTCACTAATATTTGCTTCTTTAAACAAGTTTAAACTCATCAGCTGGATTTCGAAATCTGAAACTACCTTCATATCTATTCTTATTAGGTATTTCCCAGATTTAGTATTCATTGTTCAGATGGTTCCAACCCAGTCTAGTCTCCTTTATCCAGAGATACGTATGGAATCTACCCCAGCCAATTAACTGACACTCTGCTACTCCTGTGACCACTGTGGTTGGTTAGAGTTGACAAGCAACCCAGGCTGGATTAATCAAAAGTCAGCTTCTGAGTTTTGTCTGGAAATGTTGAAAAGAAGTTTACTTTTCAATAAAGTTTCTTATATTTCCTAATCTGTTGCTTCTGGCACAATTCATCAATGAAACTCACTGAATAAACCAGGTACATTCATTCCTAAATGACTTCAGTCATCATCATACATGCAAATGGCTTCCACAAACATTAAATACCACATCATCCTCACAAGTACCCAACATCTGAAAGATGAGGGAAGTCTATACAACTTGATCAAGGTTACCTGGGCTTCTGCATCCATGTTCTCTCCCTTCTGCTTCACTATCTCATGAACCCTCTCATAAATGTTTATAAATTTTCACGTGTGCCAGAGGTGTTCTCTTTTTCTCCATTCTTATGCAGTATTCTTAAAAAATCATCATCACAAAATGCACATATTATCCTAAGGGTGGGGAGACTCAGAAGGGGACCAGTTGTGAATGTGATTCAGAAAGGGATAATTTCTCACATCAAGCAGAGTTTTGCTTTTCTTTTTTGTTTGCTTGTTTTATTTCAAAGTGAATACAACTGGACCTCCCTGGACCAAGGGAGGGTAAGAGTCATAGAAGGTCAAGTGCGCTATAAAATGAAGATAAATAAGATCAAAATCTAGATAACTTTGATAAAAATAAGATCAAAATGTAGAACAGCTACTCTTGGCCTTCCACTTATAGTTCTCAGGAGAATTTTTGGTTGTTACTTGCCTAACCTCTATCGATGAAAGTAATCTAACTTGCATATGATACAGCAAGGCAGAGAATCACAGAACATTGAAATGGAAACACCATGGAGGTTAACTCACCCAACTGAATTAGCCTGGACTCTGCCATTTGCATGTGGCAGAAGAAAGGACAATTCAAACTGATTTTAAAGCAACAACAAAAACCCTTTATTGGTCAAATATCTGAAAAGGCAATAGTAGCTCCAGGTACATCCTGGATCTGCTTTTCTCAATAGAATTTCCTTCCATTCCTAGTGATCCTCCTGCGGAGCTCTCCCACAATTCCAGCCTTCCATTCTACTTAATTAGGGACCTTGTTGAAAAGTAAACTTCTCAACAGTGCAAGACAAAGCCCAGAACTTGACTTCTGCTTCCTCCAGCCTGGGCTGCCTGTCTGCTCTGTTCGTCCACTGGGAGGAGGTGGCAGGTAATCGGCTGGACTGGGTCACGTGCGCATCTCTGATAAAAGGCACTGGGCTGACCTGGAACCATCTGAACAATGAGGATTCAATCTGAGAAAGCAGCAACTCCTGAAGTGAGGAATGGAAGCTGAGCAGAACAAACAAATGTCTACTACCCCTTATTAAAGATGAGAAAACTGAAGTGCCCAAGGTCAGACGGTGAGGACTCTCCTTCACTCAGTAATTCATTTAGATTTAAACAGGATTAATACCACCTACCCCTGGAGGAGGGCATGACAACCCACTCCAGTATCCTTGCCTGGAGAATCCCATGGACAGGGGAGCCTGGCAAGCTAGTCCATGGGGTCACAAAGAGTCGGACATGACTAAGTAACTAACACAGGTACACACACACACACAATACCACCTACGTAGACGATCTTGGATTTTATTTACCTGTGCTGCACTGTTTGGCAAACACTTTTTTAAAACTGTATTTTCACTCAAAATGTAACTAATATGAAATAAAGGTAGAGATTTCCCTTTAAGGGTAATATATTCCCTTTAATTTTAAAAAACAAACATAAAAATAAAGAGCTAAAGCTCCACTATGAATCATTACACATAAAGTGGCTTTGAAAGTTATTTGTCCTAAAAAGGGAGGCACTGCTTTACCTAATTGCATATACGTGTGCGTGTGTGTGTGTGTGTGTGCGTGCGCTTATACATATGTATCTGGTTCCATATTCTAAAAACAGTTCACATTATATAATATGGATAATTTTCCTTCTAGGACTGTAGGCTCTGCCATGTTTCATATCAACTGCAACACTCTAAATGCTTCCAAAATAATAAGACACATTATTTTTCTCTCTGTTAACACTTAAAGGCAGAGCCAGGATATTAGAGAGTGCTACCAAAAAGAAGAGGAGATACAGGAAAAGGCTTTCACACCTAAAATGAAGAAACCTGGAGCAGAAAAGAATAAGCAAGCAATATCTCTATGTGTGTATCCAAAAAAAAGAAAAGATCCACAGATAAAGATTCATAAATAATCAGTTGGGAAATGTGGGCTAGACAGTTTAAGCCACAAGGCAGACTTTGTCTTATCACTATAACAGCATTTATTATTTTAGGCTGTAATTATTTGTTTATATGCCTGCCTCTCCCACAAGCGTCTTTAAGAGCAAGGATCATGCCTTTCATTTCTGGATTCACAGGACTGGCACAGAATAGATACTCCATATGGGTTTCTCAGGTGGCGCTGGTAGTAAAGAATCCACCTGCCAACGCTGGAGATGTAAGAGGCACGGGTTTGATCCCTGGGCTGGGAAGATCCCCTGGAGGAGGGCAAGGCAACCCATTCCAGTATTCTTGCCAGGAGAATCCCATGGACAAAGTAGCCTAGCTACAGTCCATGGAGTCAAAAAGTGTCGGACATGACTAAGCGTCTGAGCATTGCACAAGACACAGTACACGAAAGAACAAACAAACAGAATATAAATGGAGTCTACACAAAAAAGGAGTTTTACACATATGAAGTTCAGAAAACAATAAGGTCCCAGTTGCAAGACAAGATGTGACCAGTTATTTGCATTATATTTTTAAGGTAGCAACTTAAATTATACTACTCACAGAGTCTACCCTTGATGATCCAACCAGAAACACAAGTAAAACAATTTTAGCTGTACATCAAAGTTGGGGTTCTGCTTTGTTTTTCTTTGTTTTTTTTAAATTTCAAACGTGATTTTTCTGAATAATGGTTTAAGACCTAATGATTGTTAAGGTAAAGGATCAAATGTGTTGAATTTAATGAAAAGTACATTTAAGAGTTATGACAGTACAAATTCCAGGGCCCACACTGTAAGAATTTTAATTAGACGAAATCATGACCTTTTGGAAGCAAAATTTCCGTATTTAGTCTGGAAACAAAAGGCATTTCTTAAAAAGAAGCATAACATAACATGAAGAACACTGACCTCTTTTTTTTTCAAGTGGTAAAACTTTCCAAATGCAAAGTTCAGGGTTTCTTTGTTACTTTTGGCAAAAAAAAAAAAAAAAAGACTGGAATTCAGAATCAAATATCAATATACACTCTTGGAAAGGAGTTTCAGAAATTGGTTTAAAATTATAGAAAGGAAATAAAATACTGAAAAATCAACTACAAAAATAGTCTAAATAAATCTACTATTGTCTAAGAGGAAATATATATGGAGGAAGAGATCACATGAAGAGGGAAAGGATTAGAAAAAGAAGAAAAGCCACATTTCTAAGCCTAGTATCCAAGGCTTTCCATGATCAGACTTAAAATAATGGCTCCAGCCTTACCTTTCACTGTTCCCTACAAGTGCCCTCTGTGGCACCCAGACAGGTATATCCTAAAAATACCTTTACCTTGTACACTTACGCCTACACAGAAGGACTGGAAAAACACCGCTCAGACAAGAGTACAAGATCAGACCCCAGAGATATACTAACTGGCTCTGGCTCCTTCAAATGAGCTCCCCGAACTTCAGGTAAACAAGGGCAACAGGGCAATTCTTTCCCCTGTCTTCATTTTTAAATTAACTGAACCACATAATGAGGGTTAAGATATCTATCTGGTTTACACATCTCAGACATTTCTACAGTCTAAAAGACAGATCTCTTCAATCAACTTGGCACTGCCTGCCTAGCATGCCAAGATCACCTGAAAATCCAATAAACCTTACTAGTTGGGTTCACACTAACTTGACACTGTTGTCAGCAACTGATATATGCGGACTGCAATTATAAATAGCTGTATGTGTAGGGCAAGTCCAGGCTCAGGCAGAAGGGTTAATTAAGGTTTAACATTACATGTTCTCTTCTTTCTGAGAACTATGAAAAGGAGAAGCATTTTGTGGGCATCTGTCAAAAATGAATTAAACTGGAAACAAATATAATACAAACTATCTTTAGTTTCATAAACATTAATACTTTGTATCAAAATACTACTAATAACTTCCTGCAATGCAGGAGACCTGGGTTTGACCCCTGGGCCAGGAATATCCCCTGAAGAAGGGAAAGGTTACCTACTCCAATATTCTTGCCTGGAGAATTCCATGAACAC